ACACACGCCGCCATTAACTATACGGCGTGTGTGCTGTAGCTGGTGCGGACTTGTTCTTGCTGCCAGTGAGTTAGAGTAGGCTACTGAGTAGGCCTAATCTGGCTAATATCAGTAATGAGTAATGGCAGTAATGCCGTAATGGCTAATGAAAATATGTAAAACCTTAATTAAAAGCACAATGCTACAATTCATTACAAATACAAATGTATAACATTTTATTTAGGACGTTACGTACGCATAGTACATACTCATACTGTGACATAGCTAGGTATACAGGGTTACAGAATACAGGTATACATAATACACACATACACTGCCACAGTACTGCCGCTGGGTAGATGAAATATTTTTAGTTATTTTACATCTCTGGTGACTAATTAGAGGAAACTAAAATAGTAATCATGGAATAGCTTCAATGTTTACGTTTTTATCGCGTGACAAGCATATTTATCATCCAATAATTTAACTCGACCCAGTGTCTATCCTGTGGGTGCCCCCCTGTGGGGCCACTGCAGATCTAAATAGTCCCATACTGCCGCTGAGAGGGTCTATGTCCCCAGGGTACGGTTCGATATATCGGAACGTACCCTGGTACTATCTAATATGCCGAACCGTACCTCGCCTTCTCCACTAACGAGTCTAGGGAGTCGCCTACGCCTACTCCCTAACCCTAACCATATCAGATAGTTACCAGGGTACATTCCGATATATCGAACCGTACCCAGGGTACCCTCTGATAGTACCCTGGGGGACATAGACCCTATGAGCCATACTGCCATAGGCTTGCGTGTTGCATGCTCACGCAGTATTTCGCCAAGCAGTTACTTGTGACTAAATGAATATGGTCATTCCACTGTAGTATAACATTGTGACATTTACAAACCTTTCTTCAATAAGGTTGTGTCTAGGAACCGGGAGCTGATGTATACAAGCAACAGAAGTGAATGCTAGTGAAGCCACACAAACAAGATTGGGAGTGCACAACTCATTCATTGGATTTGGACAGGGTGTGTCGATGGGAGAGGACGTGTTTTCGCTGCGCTCCGGTTTAACACTACAGTGTGCTCTTCTTTGGCTGGAAGTTGTATAGATACTAGTAGTACTACTACTAACATAACTTATTTACGTTACTTGTGCGCGAGTTATTTCATGCGATGCTAACTAACTAGCTGCAACAGCATAACATTGGAAACAAGAGTGCATCCATTAGTCAAGCAACAACAAACATTTTTTCCCGCCTGAATTTGCACTCAACATTAAAGATACTTGGCAAAAGCCTAAGGTAACACTAATTATTTAGCATATGCACTGTGTCTTTACCTCTAACACAGGCCAACTTTTAGTCTCATTTGCTGTGTTACCCGGGGCGGCTTGTCGGGAATGAAGAAAGGCAGGCAGCCAGCTAGCTAGTTCCTACACAGTTCCTAACAGTAACACTAGTCATCACAGGAACAGGAACAGTACAAGCAGTTTACTATAGTAAGGAGACTAACTATGTGTTGTGGCGTCTATTTGCACCAATAAGAAAAAAACAGAAAAACTTAAATACGTAATAATATAATTGTAATCATCTAAGTGGCGCATTATTGTGTTGTTGTGTTGGTAAACATTACCAGCTATAGATGTCTGTTACTAATACTAGGACTACGAGTACAAGGTTACTAAGAGGATCAGCAAGTAGTAG